AATAGTGACATACAGGAACATACCAGTTACATCGTCAATAATAACACAGAGGAACATATTAGTAACACCGTCAATAATGACACACATGAACAGACCAGTAACACGGTCAATAATGACACACAGGAACAGACCAGTAACATCGTCAATAATGACACACAGGAACAGACCAGTAACGACGTCGATAATGACACACAGGAACAGACCAGTAACACCGTCAATAATGACACACTTGAACAGACCAGTAACGCGATCAATAATGACACAGAGGAACAGACCAGTAACACCGTCAATAATGACATAGAGGGACAGAACAGTAACGAAGTCGATAATGACACAAAGGAACAGACCAGAAACACCGTCAATAATGACACACAGGAACAGACCAGTAACACCGTCAATAATGACACACAGGAGTAACACCGTCAATAATGACACACATGAACAAAACAGTAACGCCATCAATAATGACACATATGAACAGACCAGTAACGCCATCAATGATAACACAGGAACAGACCAGTAACACCGTCAATAATGACACACAGGAACAGACAAGTAACACAGTGAATAATGACAGAGAGGAACAGTCCGGTAACACCATCAATAACGACACAGGAACAGACCAGTAACACAGTCATTAATGACAAATAGGAACAGACCGGTAACACCGTCAATAATGACACACAGGAACAGACCAGTAACACCGTCAATAATGACACACAGGAACAGACCAGTAACACCGTCAATAATGACACAAAGGAGGAGACCAGTAACACCGTCAATAATGACACACAGGGACAGACCGGTAACGACGTTAATAATGACACACAGGAACAGACCAGAAACACCGTCAATAATGACACACAGGAACAGACCAGTAACACCGTCAATAATGACACACAGGAACAGACCAGTAACGCGATCAATAATGACACACAAGAAGAGACCAGTATCACCGTCAATAATGACACACATGAACAGACCAGTAACGACGTCAATAATGACATAGAGGGACAGACCAGTAACAACGTCAATAATGACAAACAGGAACAGAGCAGTAACACAGTCAATAATGACAAACAGGAACACAATAATGACACACATGAACAGACCAGTAATACCGTCAATAATGACACACAGCGACACCGTCAATAATGACACACATGAACAGACCAGTAACACCGTCAATTATGAAACACAGGAACAGTCTAGTAACACCGTCAATAATGACACAAAGGAGGAGACCAGTAACACCGTCAATAATGACACACGGGAACAGACCAGTAACCACATCAATAATGACATACATGAACAGACCAGTAACACCGTCAATGATGACACACAGGAACAAACTAGTAACACAGTCAATAATGACACACATGAACAGACCAGTAACGACGTCAATAATGACACAGGAACAGACCAGTAACACCGTCAATAATGACACACAGGAACAGTCTAGTAACACCGTCAATAATGACACACATGAAAAGAACAGTAACACGGTCAATAATGACACACATGAACAGACCAGTATCACCGTCAATAATGACAAACATGAACAGACCAGTAACACCGTCAATAATGGCACACGGAAACGGACCAGTAACGACGTCAATAATGACACACATGAACAGACCAGTAACACCGTCAATAATGACACACAGGAACAGTCTAGTAACACCGTCAATAATGACAAAAAGCAGGAGACCAGTAACACCGTCAATAATGCCACACAGGGACAGAACAGTAACACCGTCAATAATGACACAAAGAAACAGACCATTAACAACGTCAATAATGACAGACAAGAACAGACCACTAACACCGTCAATAATGACACAAAGGAACAGACCAGTAACACCGTCAATAATGACACACAGGAACATACCAGTTACATCGTCAATAATAACACACAGGAACAGACCAGTATCACCGTCAATAATGACAAACAGAAACAAACCAGTAACACCGTCAATAATAACATACATGAACAGAACAGTAACGCCATCAATAATGACACATATGAACAGACCAGTAACACCGTCAATAATGACACACAGGAACATACCAGTAACACCGTCAATAATAACACAGAGGAACAGATCAGTAACACCGTCAATAATGGCACACAGAAACGGACCAGTAACGACGTCAATAATGACACACATGAACAGACCAGTAACACCGTCAATAATGACACACAGAAACAGACCAGTAACACCGTCAATAATGACACACAGGAACAGACCAGTAACACCGTCAATAATGACACACATGAACAGACCAGTAACACCGTCAATAATGACACACATGAACAGACCAGTAACACCGTCAATAATGACACAAATGAGGAGACCAGTAACACCGTCAATAATGACACACAGGGACAGACCGGTAATACCGTCAATAATAACACAAAGTAACAGATCAGTAACACCGTCAATAATGACCAGTAACACTGTCAATAATGACACACAGGAACAGAACGGTAACAACGTCAATAAAGACACACAGGAACAGACCAGTAACGACGTCAATAATGACACACATGAACAGACCAGAAACAACGTCAATAATGACAAACAGGAACAGACCAGTAACACAGTCAATAATGACACACAGGAACAGACCAGTAACGACGTCAATAATGACATAGAGGGAGAGACCAGTAACACTGTCAATATTAACAAACAGGAACAGAAAGGTAACGACGTCAATAATGACACACATGAACAGACCAGTAACACCGTCAATAATGACACACAGGAACAGACACCAGTAACGTAACACGTCAATAATGACACACAGTAACTGACTAATAACACCGTCAATAATGACACACAGTGACAGACCAGTAACACCGTCAATAATGACACACAGGAACAGACCAGTAACACCGTCAATAATGACACACAGGGACAGACCAGTAACACCGTCAATAATGACACACAGGAACAGACCAGAAACACCGTCAATAATGACACACAGGAACAGACCAGTAACACCGTCAATAATGACACACAGGAACAGACCAGAAACACCGTCAATAATGACACACGGGAACAGACCAGTAACACAGTCAATAATGACACAAAGGAACATACCAGTAACACCGTCAATAATGACACACAGGAACTGACTAATAACACCGTCAATAATGACACACAGGAACAGACCAGTAACACCGTCAATAATGACACACAGGAACAGACCAGTAACACCGTCAATAATGACACACAGGAACAGACCAGTAACACCGTCAATAATGACACAAAGGAGGAGACCAGTAACACCGTCAATAATGACACACAGGGACAGACCGGTAACGACGTTAATAATGACACACAGAAACAGACCAGTAACGACGTCAATAATGACACACAGGGACAGACCAGTAACACCGTCAATAATGACACACATCAAAACAGACCAGTAACACCGTCAATAATGACACACAGAAACAGACCAGTAACACCGTCAATAATGACACACAGGAACTGACTAATAACACCGTCAATAATGACACACAGGGACAGACCAGTAACGACGTCAATAACGACACACAGGAACAGACCACTAACAAAGTCAATAATGACACACAGGAACTGACAGGTAACGACGTCAATAATGACACACAGGAACAGACTAGTAACACCGTCAATAATGACACACAGGAACACACCAGTAACGCCATCAATAATGACACACAGGAACAGACCAGTATCACCGTCAATAATGACATATAGGGACAGAACAGTAACGACGTCAATAATGACACACATGAACAGACCAGTATCACCGTCAATGATGACACACAGGAACATATCAGTAACACCGTCAATAATGACACACAGGAACAGACCAGTAACATTGTCAATAATGACACACGGGGACAGACCAATGACGACATCAATAATGACACACAGGTACAAACCAGTAATGACGTCAACGACAGCACACATGAGCAGATCACGTGTTATAAAATATATGATACTAAAGAAGAAAAAACTGTCTCATATGTTAAAATGCAGGCAGAATTTCGACAATAATCGAACGTCTGTTATATCTGTCTTAAATGTTTGACAGTTGATGCGATGGTAAAACACTTAATCGCCGAGCTTATCGGATTATCGGTCCACAGTATTCATCTGACAGCTACACCAATTAATTTTAATGGTGTGATAAGGGATCTGCTAGAGGACATGGCCGCGTGCTTACTCTTCATGTTCTCGGATTGACCTTTTCCACTAGTTCAAATCAAATTAGTACGTTTAAACGTTATGTTTAGCTCCACATCCCTCTCTGTTTCTGTTTTTTTATACAAGCATACGCTTTAACATCGGTAACCATACGTATGTATCACGTAGTTTGAAATTCCTTCGCCAGCAATTACAATTTATCGTGTCACGTTTATATCCACGAAGAGATATCCGTGCTTTTTCCTAAATCAATATATCAGATCAGATAGGAGTTACGGCCTCCTTCCACCACTGTCTCCACGCAACTTGCAACGTTAAACTTCTTTGTAATCAATAGATCCAAATCTGACCACTACACGGAGCCGTCAAGATACATCCGGTTCCATTGAGGTTTCAGATTAGAACGTTGGGCACCACCTATTGTGTATAATTGGGTGTAATGGCGTAGACTTATTTATATATACACATAGTTCCTGTGTTTAACACGCAGAGCGTTTCATTAAGAACGGGTATCAATGAGGCCATATCAAGGAATTGAATGGTAACTTGGTGTTACGTAACAGAGATATTACAGAGCGTAGTAACAAGTTCCCGGTTTTCTGTGCGTGTATTAGCGTTCTAGTCCCTATATTTTGTGAAGAATTCCCTGAGTACAGAATCTACGCCACACCGGCGGCACATCGCGTGCTGCTCGCGTGAGGTAAGTATGCCTAAACCGTATTCACGGGAAATGAGACTTTTTGAATTGCTGCAATTAACTTGTTTCGACCGAGAGACAACTGACAACAGACACGCAGATATATTCAATATTTTCTTTAATCGACTGACATCAAGACGTACACCAAAACTTGGTACACAAACATGATATATACATTACTGATTTAGTCCAGGTGAAAACCCGGCTTGCGTGGAGCACGCAAGCGCCAAAATTGGATTTCCTTTTCCTGCAAATTGGATTTCTTCATAAGCGAGAACGAGGCTTTCTTGTGTAATAAAACCGTAGGATGTCGTTAATAAGCAACATTTCTGAGAACGTCCTGCGGCATGAAAACTCGTACTCTGTCACATAGCGTCATTATAAACACTCATAAACACCCTTACCGCATTATGTCGTCAGCTTGCGACATTACCGAAATCGAGATTCGGTGCTGTCAGGACCTCGTACTATGTTTCTTGCGACATAACTGATAACGAAGCCCTTAGACTGAATTGCATTCTATGTCGTGAGCGCCAAAACCCAGCGACATCATGATATAATAGAATGTCACTGGCGACATAACCCAGGAGACTTTGTAACAGTATGATATCATACCATATCGTTAGTTACATTACTAACCAGGCTCTGTGACGTCCTGACATACCATATCGTTAGCTACATTACTAACAAGGCTCTGTGACGTCATGACATACCATATCGTTAGCTACATTACTAACAAGGCTCTGTGACGTCATGACATACCATATCGTTAGCTACATTACTAACAAGGCTCTGTGACGTCATGACATACCATATCGTTAGCTACATTACTAACACGGCTTTTTGACATGATGATATCTTACCATATCGTTAGCTACATTACTAACAAGGCTTTGTCATGTCATGACATACCATATCGTTAGCTACATTACCAACAAGGCTTTGTGACATCATGACATCATACCATATCGTTAGCTACATTACCAACAAGGCTTTGTGACATCATGACATCATACCATATCGTTAGCTACATTACCAACAAGGCTTTGTGACATCATGATATCATACCATGTCATTAGCGACATCATACTAACAAGGCTCTGTGACATCATCATATCCTATGTCTTAAGCGACATAACGGAGGGCGAGGCTGTGTGACATCAATTCATGCTGTCATTAGCGACATCACCGACAGCGAGACTCTGCGACATCTCATTCTGTCGTTGGTGACACTATCGAGAGCGAGGCAAAGCGAGATTAATTGATCCCGCCTTTACCGAGAAAATTTTACGACATTGTAGTGACGGCAGAAAACAATCTCACTACGCCTAAAGTCGGCTCTAAAGTTGTCGTCCAGGTGACAATGAACAGCAGTGTGGCAGACCAGGTTTCTACCATACCTATCGTCAAGAGTCTCAATACTGCTGACCCTATGACTGAAATAATCAACAAATCCCGTGCACAATAGTAATATATTACAGACAAAATGTAATCACTAAATCTACAGCTGCGTTTTCGTCATAAAAAAAATCCCTCCTAGTTGCTTGACATTATCATATTTCGACCCTTGAAATTGCATAATCCTACGCTAGGATTTCTACAGTACACACACACATATATATATCTGCATAGTAAGACAACACATTACGTATAATATGCATCACACGAAACATTTGATTTAGTTTGCGTCTACGTACATCAATATGTTAATGGCTGGCGATCCCTACTTAAACTGCACTAAAGACAGTTGAAGCATGGGTGATATTGCAAAAACGACATCCCGTGTAGACTGACAGAGGAATGTAAACATAGATTACGTCATGGAGAAGTCACGTGTCATCGATCACCAGGGAGCCCTGATTGACCGGAATCCACGTCACCCACTCAAGTATCCGCAGGCACCCACATCAATACAAAGTGATGCCCACCTTACAAACAATAGCCGTTGATCAATGCGGCTTTATTGCAGTTAATTTATGACATATTCAAAAGCGCCATCTAAGTGTCATTTCGCTATGTTAAAACATCACAGGAGCTTCCCGTGATTAAAACATCAAGCGTCATCTGTTCAGCATCCTAGATTAAATAAGTACTCCATAGCATTACACTGGCGTTGATCCGAGTGATTCTGGTCCGATTCAGGACCTGGGTCATTGACTAGTACCCCGTCGAGGGGAATTGTCAGTCTACACAAGTGTTTCACACTCTGTCAAAGTGACTCTCTTATCTAGCACAGTCTACACTAGTTATGTCAAAACACGTAGCACCATTCAACATAATAACAGTTTACATAAATTGTTTGTCAGTTTTGACATTACATTATCAACACGTAATTCACCACAACCTACTATTTCTATCAGTGTATTCTTACATCATCAAAAGATGTGTGGTACGTCACATAGAAAAAGGACTTCGAAAAATGAAAGTAGGATATCCCTGATTTAACACTGTATATGCTGTTCTGTCTACACGATCAGCCAATGACCTATACCATCTCGCTCCGTACACAAAGGGTCGAGGTTCGGGACTTTCGAGCTGCGCGAAATGTACATTTACAAATAAATAACAGTGCTCATGTAACAAAGATGTCTGGAAACATTTTGACACGTGTGGTGACGTCATCACACGGACAGGCGCTGGGACGTCTTGAGTTTGCAGTAGCTACACGGATGAAAGAAGCGGCTCATGTCTTGCACGTGCCTTGTAACAGCTTCACTGAGAATGATGGCAGGGCCGACTTTCATGCCGAGGTTGCGAATAAGAGCGTCCGTGGTCAGGAGCGGTAGGAGCTTTCCTTCTATTCTATGTGCCAGGAAAGTCTGCAAACAAAGAGAAATGTTAGTACACGTGATCACGTGGTCTGACACTTGCCCAGAATTCGAATTCTGCAACTTAAATGATTAACTATAAACAAATGATATTTATAAAAATCATGCGCAGGATTTGGATAAACATTTCATTCATTGATAGTAGGCGCACGGCTAAGTTTCTTTAGCTGTAATGTATTTATATCGTGTTCCTTAATGTAATGTCGTGTGTAGGATCCGGATAGCCTGGCATTGTAAAGGATATATCAGGTACTAGCTGACCGTCAGTTAGGAAAACATGTATCATATACAAGGTTTAGTCTGTCTAACCGTTAGATATAACAAATGATTTAGTTAACTGTAAGTTTGATCCGTCTAACCGTTAGTTATAACAAATTATTTATTTAACTGTAAGTTTGATCCGTTTAACCGTTAGTTATAACAAATGATTTAGCCAAGTGTAAGTTTGGTCTATCTAATCGTTAGTTTAAAATATCCTTTGTAAAAGTCACCTTGTAGCAACAAAAATATTTGCCCTCTCAAAAAATAACATTTTGTATCAGTACAGTGTGTATGGAGAGGAACAAGAAAGGGAGGTAGACTAACTCACGGTAGGCACACACAACCTTACATCCACATCCTTACACTATACAAAAAGCTTTTAGACATGGGAGATAAAATACATATTAATTCACAGTCCGGAACGACTTTCTGTCTAGTCGGTACTGAAACCACTATACATGACTGATTCCGCAATTGTGTCACGTGGGGGACGCAATCACGCGGAAAAATTGGAAACTCAAAACTAAACATAAAGATTAAAATTCTGTTGTGTACGAGTAACGATGACAAACGTAACTGCAATTAACACAGTTACGCACCGGACGTATACCACAGTCAGACATCCGACGCTGTAAGCAACAAACGTTAGTTAAAAGGTATGCTCCAGTTAGGCATCCGAATTTACTTATGAGCACCACGCGATAGAGTATCTAGGTGGGACATCACGTGATTATTTGTATATAAGTACTTTAACTGTCTTATTACCTGTGGGTTGATACCTTCCGTTTTACCTGTCTATGTCTATGTCTGTGTGGTACCTGTCTATGTGGTACCTGTCTGTGTGGTACCTGTCTATGTGGTACCTGTCTATGTGGTACCTGTCTGTATGGTACATGTCTGTGTGGTACCGGTGTGTGTGGTACTTGTCTGTGTGGTACCTGTCTGTGTGGTGCCTGTCTGTGTGGTACCTGTCTGTGTGGTACCTGTCTGTGTGATACCTATCTGTGTGGTACCTGTCTGTGTGGTACCTGTCTGTGTGGTGCCTGTCTGTGCGGTGCCTGTCTGTGTGGTACCTGTCTGTGTGATATCTGTCTGTGTGGTACCTATCTTTGCGGTACATGTCTGTGTGGTACCTGTCTGTGTGGTACCTGTCTGTGTGATACCTGTCTGTGTGGTACCTATCTTTGCGGTACATGTCTGTGTGGTACCTGTCTGTGTGGTACTTGTCTGTGTGGTACCTGTCTGTGTGGTGCCTGTCTGTGTGGTACCTGTCTGTGTGATAACTGTCTGTGTGGTACCTGTATGTGTGGTACCTGTCTGTGTTATACCTGTCTGTGTGGTACCTGTCTGTGTTATACCTGTCTGTGTGGTACCTATCTTTGCGGTACATATCTGTGTGGTACCTGTCTGTGTGTGGTACCTGTCTGTGTGGTACCTGTCTGTGTGATATCTGTCTGTGTGATACCTGTCTGTGTGGTACCTGTCTGTGTTATACCTGTCTGTGTGGTACCTATCTTTGCGGTACATATCTGTGTGGTACCTGTCTGTGTGTGGTACCTGTCTGTGTGGTACCTGTCTGTGTGATATCTGTCTGTGTGATACCTGTCTGTGTGGTACCTGTCTGTGTGGTACCTGTCTGTGTGGTGCCTGTCTGTGCGGTGCCTGTCTGTGTGGTACCTGTCTGTGTGATATCTGTCTGTGTGGTACCTATCTTTGCGGTACATCTGTGTCTGTGTGGTACCTGTCTGTGTGATATCTGTGTGTGATACCTGTCTGTGTGGTACCTGTCTGTGTGATACCTGTCTGTGTGGTACCTATCTTTGCGGTACATGTCTGTGTGGTACCTGTCTGTGTGGTACTTGTCTGTGTGGTACCTGTCTGTGTGGTGCCTGTCTGTGTGGTACCTGTCTGTGTGGTACCTGTCTGTGTGATAACTGTCTGTGTGGTACCTGTATGTGTGGTACCTGTCTGTGTTATACCTGTCTGTGTGGTACCTGTCTGTGTTATACCTGTCTGTGTGGTACCTATCTTTGCGGTACATATCTGTGTGGTACCTGTCTGTGTGTGGTACCTGTCTGTGTGGTACCTGTCTGTGTGATATCTGTCTGTGTGATACCTGTCTGTGTGGTACCTGTCTGTGTGGTAACTGTCTGTGTGGTGCCTGTCTGTGCGGTGCCTGTCTGTGTGGTACCTGTCTGTGTGGTAACTGTCTGTGTGGTACCTGTCTGTGTGGTACCTGTCTGTGTGGTGCCTGTCTGTATGGTACCTGTCTGTGTGGTATCTGTCTGTGTGGTAACTGTCTATGTGGTACCTGTCTGTGTGGTACCTGTTTTTGTCGTTACACGTATGTCTGTCTGTAGTTGCCTTTATGTGGTAACCTGTCTGTTAATGTTTCGATGGCGTGGTACTATTTTAATACACCTGATTAGTCACTGACTAGTCCACAGGTGGCAGCACTGTTCAGTATACGTGAAGATAGTACTTACCTTTGCGTATGAACTACAGCCCTCCAGTTTAGAGACGAAGTCGAACACCTTCTCCGCTGACCAGTTCATGATGTTTTCTGGATTATCAGCTCCACATTTACACAATAACTTGGAGCCTTTTAGGTCCTTCTCCTGCCACATGGAATGGTTATTTTTTGTCTTATGACGATGGCTATTATGTGTTTTATGAATGTTCGATTTGTCTCCTTCGGGACTTTTTTCGTTTGGCAAATTCATCACCATTTTTTTTTTACAATTGTCAACAGATTCTGACGATCGTGGTAATGGTGAAGCTAGGTAGTCATTGTTACTACACTCGAGTTTTGTACGTTTCGTGGAGAGATCAAGTGCACAGGCAGTGTCGGCTTCTGCAGGTCCCCGTTTGCGGGAGTTACTCTGACAGGAATGAGGTAAGGACGGTGACTCCTTGGGACTGGGGTGGGGTACGCACGAGTCGAGGATAGGGTAAGACATATGCGGGGGTCGTGGTGGCGCCATGAATCCCGGAAGTCCACTATTGGGTGGCATGGAACATAAAGATGAAATGGATGTGGTTGTAGGCACCTCGCCACGCTGACTGTTAGGGCCGAGAAACATGGAGTAGGGATTGAACAGTCCGGGCGGGAAAAGCAAATCCGGAGTCCACATGGAGAAGTATGGGTCGTGAACAGGCGGAGACAGAAAGCTATAAACACAAAGACATGGTATTAATGTCGACATATTCATCACAGTGATGGGCGCCAAGTTTGTAAAGACATGGCGACCGCTAGCAAAATTAAACTGATAAGGTCAATTGGTAGGACAGTGAACCGTTGTGTATAATCAAACATTACAACTATTCGTTGTCCTTAAGGCTGTTTTGTATGCATGTTACTGAAATACATTACTGGAGGAAGTGGTTTTCTGGAACATATTCATGTTATTGATAACTTGTCGGTGTTGGTTTTATCACAAACTAATGCATCACACTATCGATTACGGACTAATCGATCATCAAACGAAACCACATAAATATGCATGAGTTGACACAAGGAAAGGCACATGTACATGGGTGTGGGGCAACAGACCAACCGAAATCATTCTACTCTCCCTGATAAAAGTCATTTAGTTTCATACCAATTTCTGATTCATGTCAGCTATCAACACGACAAAGAAATGCTAATTATCTGCGGAGTGACTGTGGTGACGGAAAATACCATGACTGTCGACTAAGTCTGACTCGGAGGCTGAATCGTTCCAGATCCTACGCCGGCAATCCTTGGATGGTATCACGCAACTATGCAGATAGGATTCCGGGTTGTTTTTCCTGGGGAATTATTTACGTTCAAAGTAATGCGATTTTTTGACATGACCATCCATTCTGGATTAATTCTCATGAGATCTCTCTATGCGGAATCACTTTATAACACCACTAGAATCGTGACCTTTCGTGAGCGCGCGCCTACCCGTACAATTAAATCCCCTGCCCGTCCTCAACACGACAGCCCCGCCGAGGCGTGCCGTGGTGGATCTGTACTTAGCACATCCACACTTCACGAGAATAGGTATACCGGGAAAAAAACCTGCTACAAATTACAGACACCATTTTAGATAAGATTACGACAACGTACGTAATACATAGTCGAATTAGGTACATTTTCGTTACAATATCCTTGTTTCATAAACGATAAAAAGCTTTGTCATTGTACGTCACAATCACGCGGCACTAAGATTTCGATATTTTCTCGTTTTAACTGAAGCCATGTATCACTACATACGAAATATAGGATAACATTGTATATACCTAGCTACACATCAATTCGCGATGCGCATCAGCGAGATCTATATCACAACAGTGTATTGATTACTGCCGTACTTAGCTTAATATGTACAGTGTACATAAATGTGTTTATAATAACATAGGGAGACTTCTGTCGACAGAGCTCAATACGGAATCCTGGTGACGCATCTCACAGTTGCATAAATGTCGGATCAATGCTAGATCGGCGCTGTTACGGTTTCACGGACCTCTCCGCGCTATTAACCAGATCTGCAGTCATACTACGATATTAGACAAAGCGTAAAAGCGCCAAGGAACAGCTGTGACAGAAGTGATTAAGGCATAATTACATTGGATTTTTAAACAATTTACTACTTGCGTCAGTCGCTAGACGTCTCGCAATCGAACGTGCCGCTGTTGGCCGCGTGGTGCTCGGGGAGCGATTTGCTGCCGGTAGAGACGGACAGTCGGAATCGTTCAGCTGATATCGAGCTGATAAGATTGTTCCTTAATTCATACTTTCTGTTGCGAATGTAGAGATGGATATGTACTTTGTTGAACAACGTTGGTCGTTAAAAGTACATGTTCATACATAACGAACAAACCCAACCTATTTCCTCAAGCCGAGTCCCCGGATAATTCCACTCCATTATCGCTAAGCTTGTCCTACCGCTTAAAACTCAAATGATGGTGCGAACTTTTCTAACTTCATGGCATTGACTTATTATGTCAACAAATCTGTATCCTCTACCTAGAAAGGTCTATATAACTTCCCAATACCCTGATATCTACACCGTAATGTACCTACCTGACAGCCCCACCCATATAAACATCGCTTATCAACAATATCACTTACAAAGGGTTGCGTTCCTGTTTGGCGGCGAGAACCCTCATATAGTCATTGTAGTCCTTTTCCGAGGATGATTCCTTCTTTTCTCGTGTAGATAATTTCTTTACTTTGTCGGCCGGAGTGAGACGAGCAGATGGACTGGAAGTCCGAGACTTATTTGTCCTCTCGTTGATATCCTCCGACTCCTTTTTCATCCACGGATACAAAATCCCTGCTGATGGAAAGGAGTGTCGGTCACTGCTGCTACTTCCCCGCTTTTTGTTAAGAAATTCCATTATTTCACTTGGCGCGGAAGTTGAACGTTCAGGATGCCTCTTTTGATGAAGGTTAGTGGATAATGAGTGACCTTTCGAGACTTTCCTTTCCTCCGTACAAGGCGTCTGTCTTCTGGAATCTTTTCTTTGTTCGTCTATTATTTTTGCAATTTTCATTTCTACAAAAGAAAACGAAAACAATAACAGACCTATTATATAATGTATGGTATACAGTATCGACCAATTTATTTATACCGTAAATCACTATAGGTGATAACATAACCCGTACGACCGAATTAAACATGGAAATGTTCTATAACATTACTACACAGTTTATTGTAATCCATAAAACGTGATCTATATAAGTCCGGCAGTATTATCGAGATATATTCACAGGCATACCTGTTGGTAGTGGATTTCTGATCGGCGGTGTGGGCATCTGCCACATGACCTTGTTCAGCTTCGCTTCGTCTATATCCTGTTCTCGCTTCTCCTGACAGGACTCTGTTGTTTCTCCTGGGTTGTCTTTTGAAAACTCGGGCATGCTTTCCCGTCGTATTTTGTTGATGTCGTCCATTCCATTATTTGGTTCAAGCATGTCGTGTCCATTGTCTTTAGTGAAATCAGACGGATATCCTTGTTTCTTATCGGAGGGGCAATCCGTAGTCTTCTTAGAAATGTCACTAGGACTGTCCCTTTTCCTATTGGTCAGGTCGTGCTCTCGTCTCTCCTTCGTCACCTTTTCTCGGTTGACCCGCAGTTGGTCTATGATGCTGCCTAGTTTAGACTCTCTAGCAGGACTACAAAAAGAAAAAAACCGTTTATTTTAACATGAAAAATACTTTCAAATGTTCTGTGTGAATATTTAACTATATTGTAACACGTGAGTTTATAGTATATATACAGGGTTAGTGTATAGTATATATACAGGGTTAGTGTATAGTATACAGGGTTAATGTATAGTATATATACAGGGTTAGTGTATAGTATATATACAGGGTTAGTGTATAGTATATATACAGGGTTAGTGTATAGTATACAGGGTTAGTGTATAGTATATATATACAGGGTTAGTGTATAGTATACAGGGGTAGTGTATAGTATATATACAGGGTTAGTGTATAGTATATACAGGGGTAGTGTATAGTATATATACAGGGTTAGTGTAAAGCATATATATACAGGCTTAGTGTATAGTATATATACAGGGTTAGTGTATAGTATACAGGGTTAGTGTATATAGTATATATATATATACAGGGTTAGTGTATAGTATATATATACAGGGCTAGTGTATAGTATACATTTATGTATAGTGTATATATACAGGGTTAGTGTATAGTATATACAGGGTTAGTGTATAGTATACAGGGTTAGTGTATATAGTATATATATATATACAGGGTTAGTGTATAGTATATATAAAGGGTTATTCTATAGTACATTTATGGGAACAGCTCAGAGTGTATTTATAGGAACAGTTCAGAGTGTATTTATGGGAACAGTTCAGAGTGTATTTATGGGAACAGTTCAGAGTGTATTTATGGGAACAGTTCAGAGTGTATTTATGGGAACAGTTCAGAGTGTATTTATGGGAACAGTTCAAAGTGTATTTATGGGAACAGCTCAGAGTGTATTTATAGGAACAGTACAGAGTGTATTTATGGGAACAGCTCAGAGTGTATTTATGGGAACAGTTCAGAGTGTATTTATGGGAACAGTTCAAAGTGTATTTATGGGAACAGTTTTAATTGTTTGTACTTATATAACTGTAGCCGATGTATATGTGTGACATACTCATATGGAGTATTACAATGGTTGTAGTTTTGAAATAGACACTAATTACCCAACAGCTTCAATAATTACCTTGGACGCTTAGAAGATGATTTTTGTTCCTCTACTTTTTGTTCATCATCTTCTTCTTCCTCGTCCTCTATTTTGTGATCCTCGTGGATCTCCTCCTCCTTTGCCTCCTGGTCTGAGGTCACCTCTTTCTCAGTCAGAGTTTCAACAGTATCGTCCTTTTTTTCCTCGCTGATTTCCAGTTCCGCGTTTTTCTCCACCTCCTCGTGGACACTGTTTGATCCCTCGTCTGTCGGTTGTTCAGTATCCTCCACTTCCTCGGCATTGTCGTCCTCTTTGTCAGATAGACATTCTCCTGACTCTTTCTCTCCAAGCTTCGTGTTTTCCTCACCGTCATCACCCACGTCGTTAACTTTCGTTTCACACTCGGATGGCACTGTCTTTTCCGGCACATCATCTGCTGTTTTCTTGTCACACGATTTGTCTGTCTTTGAACAAGAATCGCTTTCTTCGCTAGACTCAAATGAAAACACGTCCATCTCGTTTTTGAAATGTCCTTGTGTTGATGCTGATTGTGGATTTGCATTTTTTGATTTCTCTTCGCTTTCGGAGGACACTTTGTCTGTCTCCGTTACTGAGTCCAGAAAATCTACATCGTAATTTTCCGTCGAGTCACTGTTTGCATCCGAAAGGTCACCCTCACCATTCACTTGCTCTTTGCTAAGTTCTGCGTTATTTTTTCCTCCTTCGAAACTGCCGCTGACTGCCTGTTCCTCACCACATTGAACTTCCGTTTCCCGACTCTCCCCATTTTCCTCGCCGGCCGAGTCAAGATTAACGTTAAGTTTTCGGCGACCCCTACGGGCAGACAATTGTCGTTTCCCACCTTTCTTTGGTCGTTTAGCATTCTGCAAAATATGAACGAATGTATAAACATATTGATTTTACGTTCGATAAGTTTCCTTTTTGCGATTCTTTTCCAGGATAGCTGTCAACGATTGGTCTGTCGTAAATCTTAACAACTAAACTAGTTTGTTAATTCCTAAAAAAAGAAAAGCCCATCAGCGGAGTATTCTAAACCCATTACATTAATGTCGTGCCGCCTTCATTACACAGCCGATAGGATACTGTCAGGCTTAAAGCATATGCGTTCAAACTATAACTAAGTTGCTGATATAGACTGGAAATAAGGCAGACGGGAACTCGTTTGTAAACAGTGTAGCATTATGGTGCGGTATCGTATTAGCGAGATAGGGCAGATAACACGTGTGATCGCTTTGCCTATAATCTGTATAGTGATCAGACGCAATACTTGTTGTGTTTGAGCTTGAGTGTGGTTTACGACAAGTCACGAATCCGCCTGGTTAAATGAAGCGTCTCGGCTAAATACCCGTAATATCGCTATAACGCAGGCTTTCATTTGTAAATGTGTTAAATAAAAAAAACAGGCCCGGGCGCATGTATATACTGAATACGGGGTCGATATGGGTGTCCGTGTGTGCGTCATTCACCGACAAACAGTAACTTGGTATACAAAGTGACAATATGTTTACACGTGTAGGGGAATCGTGCATATTGCCGCGCATGACCAAAAGTCGTACGATGTTTTCTACTCAATGCAAGTTTATCTAGGGGTTTAATCTACCGTAGGTCTATTTTGTTTTGAGAGTTCGATTTATTTCAGCCACATAACTAAAGCATACGACACGGTGTAACATATGTAGATGATAGGCATTACAACAAAGCGGCGCACTCTGTCGTATGTGGACCGTGTCGGTTATATCAGCATACACGAGTACAGTTACCAGTTTAAATACACTCACTGATAACAAAGACTGGCCGACATTCGTCCGCTAGGTGTATGGTCACTTTTAATAATGTATTCCTACTTAACGTGTTGTACATGTGCGTTCATGCCATTCCCCCCTGTTTCTTTGTGTTGAGCACGTTTCATACCCTCGTCAAGCATTGATTTGCCATCGATCGGACTCTGCTAGTTTAGACTATCGATTTCCGTATTGACTCGCAGTTGATATATGTACAACTTCAGACGGCGGCGAACACACCGTAACCCGAGGCGCTCTACAGCCCGATCGCAAATAATGAATGCTGAAATTGGCGACAAACGCGAGCTACGCAATGAAAAATAACGTTCAACTAATATTCCTTACTGCGGATCGATGGCACTAAGCGTTTATTGGAATAGATGGTGACATTGTAACGTGGCCTACAGTCTGTATTACTGTAACTTTTTAATCATTATCTATATACAAACTTATCTATATTTAATTTAAACACATTTTATTTAGAAATTTAACACAACTTAAAAGTTCGTCTTCTCCCATAAAACATGTCGAAAGTACATGAAATTAAAACTAGTTCTATTGAGCCGTTTAAAAACCATATCTCGTGGTTTGATCTACTGTCCACAGTTCGCTTGCTCCCGTGAATTTTTTTATACAAGTGTCACAACTTGCCACGTCGCCTGACGAAACTACCCCTGACTGAAGTTCGTCGTGAGTCAAATTTACGGTCGTTGGGTTTATCGATTAACACACCGTGTTATGTTATCGATTTTTCAATATCTTGGTGCTATCGCTACAAAATCGATCACTTGATAAAACAGTAAGCTCATTATACGCTTAAAACTCGCCCCTCCAACCTAATCATATCTGCAGTATTTAGATCAATGGGTAGCGCCCTGTAGTTTCTGCTGTACGTGGATCGCTGCCGCTTTAGATAACATTTATCCCGTCGCCAGAGTACATGTTGTAAATCCCCTCTATCGACGGTATACCTACGTGAATCGCATATTGATTTCACGGACGTAGTAACATGCGTCAATCGGGGTCGCTCCAGTGTTTCACGCCGGAGAGGGTGTCTATCTACGAGCGCTTTATCTTCACAACATATCTATTTTAGTCACCGCTAAGACGAATTCTGTCTAAAACGCTTCCCTTCGTGTTCACAAAGGTTATTTATTTCTCGTAAACTATTTCCACTTAAGAGATGCGGGTATACACGTACGTACACGTGTATACTGTACGTGCAGTAATTCTCGTCACACGTACGCGGTCGTACGGATGAACAGCATATGATGAGGGCGCCACATACTCCCGTGGGACTGAATCCGCTTCCCGCTGTAAAGACATTTGGAGCCGTTCACGCAGAATCTGTAGACGGAATCACCGACGATAGCATGAACGAAATTCCCCCGCTAAGGTTTATGTAGCACGACGTCGTGCCACTGGGGCGGTAAGGCTGTCGCCGGCCTCCCAGCTGTTGTGGCACATAAAAACTGCCATAACGATTGTCTACGGGTACAACTCGTCGGGCGCTCCCTTGGCAGTTACTGCCAGTACACAACGGTATACGGGTAGAACATTTTTGTGCTTTCATATCGACTACGGAATAACGTGTAGTTAGGCAATTTACATCCAAGTCAATTGTTATTAACAAGTTTAATAAAAGTCTGTTCTTTCCTCGGTCGATACGCATGTTTGACTAATCAATAGAAATATGTGATCCAATGTATTTAACTGACTGGCGCGACATTTACGTTGTACTTGGTGTTAAGCGGTGGTGTGCTGTTTATATTCACGCGAGACCACAGGACTGTTTCCACACCCGCATTCCTTATCGAGCAGGCTAACAATTACGTGTACAACAGCGATTATTCATATTTCTCGGCTAGTACGTGGGTGTGGCGGATACACAATCCTACACAAGCATAAATAATTCTGTGTTCATGTACAAACAGAAAGCCTGTATCAATATAACCGACAGGTTAGAGAAACAACGACTTACGGAAACAGTCTGACAGTCCGGAGTAATATAACCGACAGGTTAGAGAAACAACGACTTACGGAAACAGTCTAACAGTCCGGAGTAATATAACCGACAGGTTAGAGAAACAACGACTTACGGAAACAGTCTAACAGTCCGGAGTAATATAACCGACAGGTTAGAGAAACAACGACTTACGGAAACAGTCTGACAGTCCGGAGTAATATAACCGACAGGTTAGAGAAACAACGACTTACGGAAACAGTCTGACAGTACGGAATAATATAACCGACAGGTTAGAGAAACGACTTACGGAAACAGTCTAACAGTCCGGAATAATATAACCGACAGGTTAGAGAAACAACGACTTACGGAAACAGTCTGACAGTCCGGAGTAATATAACCGACAGGTTAGAGAAACAACGACTTACGGAAACAGTCTAACAGTCCGGAATAATATAACCGACAGGTTAGAGAAACAACGACTTACGGAAACAGTCTGACAGTCCGGAGTAATATAACCGACAGGTTAGAGAAACAACGACTTACGGAAACAGTCTAACAGTCCGGAATAATATAACCGACAGGTTAGAGAAACAACGACTTACGGAAACAGTCTGACAGTCCGGAATAATATAACCGACAGGTTAGAGAAACAACGACTTACGGAAACAGTCTGACAGTCCGGAATAATATAACCGACAGGTTAGAGAAACAACGACTTACGGAAACAGTCTGACAGTCCGGAGTAATATAACCGACAGGTCTAGTGAAACAATGACTTACGGAAACAGTCTGACAGTCCGGAGTAATATAACCGACAGGTTAGAGAAACAACGACTTACGGAAACAGTCTGACAGTCCGGAGTAATATAACCGACAGGTCTAGTGAAACAATGACTTACGGAAACAGTCTGACAGTCCGGAGTAATAAAACCAACATGTCTACACAGCGACTTACGGAAACGGTCTGACAGTCCGGAGTAGTATAACCGACAGGTCTAGTAAAACAACGACTTACGGAAACATACACCTTTTTATAATATATTCTTTACAAACAACTTACGGAAACAGACACTTTGATAATATATTCCGTACAACAACTTACGGAAACAGACACTTTGATAATATATTCCGTACAAACAACTTACGGAAACAGACACTTTGATAATATATTCCGTACAACAACTTACGGAAACAGACACCTTTTTATGATATATTCCGTACAAACAACTTACGGAAACAAACACCTTTTTATGATATATTCCGTACAACAACTTACGGAAACACACAACTTTTATGATATATTCCGTACAAACAACTTTCGGAAACAGACACTTTTATTATATATTCCGTACAACAACTTACGGAAACAGACACTTTTATAATATATTCCGTACAAACAACTTTCGTAAACAGACACTTTTATAACATATTCCGTACAAACAACTTTCGGAAACAGACAACTTTTATGATATATTCCGTACAAACAACTTACGGAAACAAACACCTTTTTATGATATATTCCGTACAACAACTTACGGAAACACACAACTTTTATGATATATTCCGTACAAACAACTTTCGGAAACAGACAACTTTTATGATATATTCCGTACAAACAACTTACGGAAACAGACACCTTTTTATGATATATTCCGTACAACAACTTACGGAAACAGACACTTTTATAATATATTCCGTACAAACAACTTTCGTAAACAGACACTTTTATAACATATTCCGTACAAACAACTTTCGGAAACAGACAACTTTTATAATATATTCCGTAGAAACAACTTACGGAAACAGACAACTATATCATATATTCCGTACAAACAACTTACGGAAACAGACACTTTTATAATATATTCCGTACAAATAACTTGCGGAAACAGACAACTTTTATAATATATTCCGTACAAACAACTTACGGAAACAGACACTTTTATAATATATTCCGTACAAACAACTTACGGAAACAGACAACTATATGATATATTCCGTACAAACAACTTACGGAAACAGACAACTTTTATAATATATTCCGTACAAACAACTTTCGGAAACAGACAACTATATGATATATTCCGTACAACAACTTACGGAAACAGACACTTTTATAATATATTCCGTACAAACAACTTACGGAAACAGACAACTATATGATATGTTCCGTACAACAACTTACGGAAACAGACAACTATATGATATATTCCGTACAAACAACTTACGGAAACAGACAACTTTTATAATATATTCCGTACAAACAACTTACGGAAACAGACACTTTTATAATATATTCCGTACAACAACTTACGGAAACAGACACCTTTTTATGATATATTCCGTACAACAACTTTCGGAAACAGACACTTTTATAATATATTCCGTACAAACAACTTACGGAAACAGACAACTATATGATATATTCCGTACAACAACTTACGGAAACACACAACTTTTATGATATATTCCGTACAAACAATTTACGGAAACACACAACTTTTATAATATATTCCGTACAAACAACTTTCGGAAACGGACACTTTTATAATATATTCCGTACAACAACTTACGGAAACAGACAACTATGTGATATATTCCGTACAAACAACTTACGGAAACAGACACTTTCATAATATATTCCGTACAAACAACTTACGGAAACACACAACTTTTATGATATATTCCGTACAAACAACTTACGGAAACAGACACTTTTATAATACATTCCGTACAACAACTTACGGAAACAGACAACTTTTATAATATATTCCGTACAAACAACTTACGGAAACAGACAACTTTTATAATATATTCCGTACAACAACTTACGGAAACAGACACCTTTTATAATATATTCCGTACAAACAACTTACGGAAACAGACACCTTTTATAATATATTCCGTACAACAACTTACGGAAACAGACACCTTTTATAATATATTCCGTACAAACAACTTACGGAAACAGACAACTTTTATGATATATTCCGTACAAACAATTTACGGAAACAGACACTTTTGAAATATATTCCATACAAACAACTTTCGGAAACAGACACTTTTGAAATATATTCCATACAAACAACTTTCGGAAACAGACAACTTTTATAATATATTCCGTACAAACAACTTTCGGAAACAGACAACTTTTATAATATATTCCGTACAAACAACTTACGGAAACAGACACCTTTTTATGATATATTCCGTACAACAACTTAGGGAAACAGACAACTATATGATATATTCCGTACAAACAACTTACGGAAACACACAACTTTTGAAATATATTCCGTACAAACAACTTACGGAAACAGACACCTTTTTATGATATATTCCGTACAACAACTTACGGAAACAGACACCTTTTTATGATATATTCCGTACAAACAACTTTCGGAAACAGACACCTTTTTATGATATATTCCGTACAACAACTTACGGAAACACACAACTTTTGAAATATATTCCGTACAAACAACTTACGGAAACAGACACCTTTTTATGATATATTCCGTACAACAACTTACGGAAACAGACACCTTTTTATAATATATTCCGTACAAACAACTTACCGAAACAGACAACTTTTATAATATATTCCGTACAAACAACTTTCGTAAACGGACACTTTTATAACATATTCCGTACAAACAACTTTCGGAAACAGACAACTTTTATAATATATTCCGTACAAACAACTTACGGAAACAGACAGCTTTATGATATATTCCGTACAAACAACTTTCGGAAACAGACAACTTTTATAATATATTCCGTACAAACAACTTACGGAAACAGACAGCTTTATGATATATTCCGTACAAACAACTTACGGAAACAGACACCTTTTTATGATATATTCCGTACAACAATTTTCGGAAACAGACACTTTTATAATATATTCCGTACAAACAACTTACGGAAACAGACACCTTTTTATGATATATTCCGTACAACAACTTACGGAAACAGACAACTTTTATGATATATTCCGTACAAACAATTTACGGAAACAGACACCTTTTTATAATATATTCCGTACAAACAACTTACGGAAACAGACAACTATATGATATATTCCGTACAAACAATTTACGGAAACAGACAACTTTTATAATATATTCCGTACAAACAACTTACGGAAACAGACACCTTTTTATGATATATTCCGTACAAACAACTTACGGAAACAGACACCTTTTTATAATATATTCCGTACAAACAACTTACGGAAACACACAACTTTTATGATATATTCCGTACAAACAATTTACGGAAACAGACACTTTGATAATATATTCCGTACAACAACTTACGGAAACAAACACATTTTTTTTATTAATATAAAACCAACAATATATTTCTGTACAACTACAACTGACGGAAACAGAAAACTTACTAAATACCTACAAATTCTGTTAAACTACGACACGGGAAAATATTAAACATGTTTATATGAACATTTTGATGTTGAAAATACAAAAACTAACAGAATTAAAAATAAATTAATTTATTACATATACGTAAATTTCTATCAAATGTGCAAATCTGGCCAGACAGAGCACGTTCTATTACGGAAATTTCAAAGGTAATTGTAGGTCAGACTGTACGCAATCTCTGGTCTGATACGTGGCTGCAGGCGTGCCTGACAAGTCTAGGTATTGATATCACCGGACGGAACATTGTGTGACATTATCTCCAACTTGGCCGATATCCAGTAAAAACAGACAATACTCGCCATAAGATCGATAACCAATTGGTTGACTTTCGTCAATTTAATATGGCATTATTAACACGACATTCTGTCGTGCCTGTTTAATGACACTAGACGAAGCGCTTTTAAGGCAATGCCTATTTCCCAACAAATATAAAACGGCCGTAAATACTGTGTTTATTGTGTTACACCCCCAGCAACTACGGAAAACATTTGCAAAGCGCGTGCACAGTTGACCTCAGATAAGACAGTGGTGCGTGTCCTACCAATAATGACGGACGCAGTTGCGTGCGAACTTTTACTGCGTCGCGTCGAGTGAGACGCGCTATCGGATATAACCCCGTGGATTCTCTTTCAGCGATCATTACATTTCATTTGCATAATGAGGCACTGTGAGGGTTCCTTGGAACGGTTTGTTCTCAGTGTCACGTTTAGCACATTAGTCATGTCCATGGTTCAGCTAACATTCGTGCCGTATTCATGACAACCTTTTCAAAATTTCGTAACCGAATACCCCGTGCTGGTAATCCTACTAACTATCTCCAACATACATTTACGAAACGGCAAAATCATTACTGGTGAAACCCGCCGCGAGATAGATCACGTAGCCTCGGACGTCTATATTACACGAAATTTAAACTTTTAGACGAGTTTGATAGCGAGATAAATAAATGAGGCACGAACGTAAAGAATTTAGTGTTTTTACGATTTTGTATTTTATGAGTAGCGTGCGTGGCTAGGAAGCAGTAATATAAGTCAGTGTCTGACGGGATCGATCGCCTGGGAACACGTGTTTCAGTATTACGTGGTTATCAGACCTCCGCTAGATATCGTATCATACACCGGCCTATCACTCTATACCATCATATTTATTTTGTGTACGAGTTCCGCCGATCGTACCCAGTGCGGTATACTGCCCTAAGTACGATCGTGCGTCAATCATTTACTAGCACGCGGCATGTCCCGGGCGAGACTTTCACACAGACCAGAGGGCTTGTTGTTGGCATATACGTATGAGAAGTGCCCAAGGATTGATCATTTACGCATCGCTGATTTCGACGATTTTCTAAATCTACCTCGTCTAAAAACGGCGGGAAAACATTGATCTCCTCCGACTTGCATATTATTACCGTGATCTGGTGTGCAATATCGGCAACGTAAAACGGTTAGTGTAGATCACGACAAGCACTCCCCGTAGTGCTGTGTTCAGACGAGTGACGTACACCGGCTAACTCGTGTTAATAATTAAATAAAAAAACAGTTCGGCGTATTAGCCTGGGCTATGTACGATAACACTAACACGCCGACTAGTCTCGTTAACAATTTAGTTCTGCCATTTCCTCCTCCATGCTTGAAATAACTGGCGACAAAGGCTCCGAAACGCAAATAGGATTATTGAACTTTCGATTGCGAGGGAAGTTATTTTTAAAAAGTCTTAAAATTTAGCCAATTAAGATCCGCAGAAGAGGATTCTATTTAAATGTTCGTCGTGATCGGGTGATTAAACATGCGAGACATTAAACGCTCATCAGTTTAATTTACAGCACGTATAAAACCTGGCAGTTAAATATTGGCCGATATAATAGTGGGCAGTACCTCACGTACTTACACACACACTAACCATGTACGAAACGCTAGACCCGAGGTAACGATTTCCTGTAGAACAAAATTAAGGCCCCAGAGAAATCCATACAGCGGTTATATCGCCTCTGGACAAAGGATTTCGGAGAATTGGCAGTAAATGCCTTATGTCGGTACTGGCCGGAAGGCGGCAGGCGACGAGATTACACCCCAGTTTACCTCAACAATGAAAAGAATATTTATCTGATAATGGCTGGAGCTATTACGACAGACCTTTGGTAGAACCCCGCTCAATGGCGGCTGTCTTAATGGCTATTGTAAGTTGGTATGACACTCGGTTAATCAAACAGACTTATAGTCACGTAGGTATGACGTACATAAAGCCAGATACATATAACGAAAGTCACACGCAATATGTCTATGTGTAACACAAGATACAACAACATGATATACACAACAAAATCTACAATGATTTTTAATCGACAAGGTATACACATACACACACGCCTGAACAAAATTGTAGTGTCCAGGACTTCGATCCACCTTAACAGTCGATAAGAATTATATACGGAACAAAAAAGTAATGATTTCAATTAACACTGACGAACAAAATTAATAACATATGTCAAAATATTGTTCACACATATAACAATATGTATAACGGCTATTGAAATAGCAGCCCACGACGAGCGTGTCGCCGGGGATATATTTAACGATTTAGTCTGTTGTTCTACAGAGTCGTTTTAAGACGGACATTTTAAAGTGACAACTTACCTTAGACGTTCCTCCCCCTCCTACAGAAAGGATTCCCTTGGAAAAGAGAAGCTTGATGCTCTTCCCTTGGTGCCTAATGGAACGTTTCCAATCTTTAGCCGTTTCCCTTCCACTTACATACTGAAATTCATTAGGAGTCAACCACGACCCCTGAAAGGACAGACACGACCCTTTACTGCCCTGGTAAAGTTTCGATAAATACATTAAAGCCTTATTGGGTCCACATTCTACCTCCAGGACAGTATCCCCCTCCTTCTCTATGGGACACAAATACTCCGTGGCGCCGTCCACAGCTTCTAAGTCTAACACCTTACTTACGGAAACTTTGTCCGTAACACTGTCCGATTTGGTTTCCGTATCCATCTCACCTTCTTTGATGTTGTCAGATTTAAGTTTGGCCTTTTTTCCACGTTTCTGTGTTTGTTTCGATCCATCCGTAAGCACTCTCTTGCCTGGCATGTTGACTAGTGGTTAAATCGTACACACACACTAAACGCGTCTTTCTCCTCCCAGCTATATAATTATAAATTGGTCATGAATACTTCAAGTGCGGATATCGTAAGCAGAGCCGGTACACGGCAAACACACACACCAGCGCGATAGTTCATTATCTGTAATTACTTATCGCGTTTTTGCGTAAGTATACCCACAAAGTACTAATCTTTCAAGCATCGTGGCGAACAGCAGTTTGTCCTGACTTCTCACACCCACATGTGTTGTGTGACGGTTTTAAACAGCGTGGTCTTGCCGGCGTCAAAGTTCCCGTAACTTCTCTGTTCAAGTAAAGAAAGAGAAATAATGAAACAAGATTTCCGTAAATCCACACCACCGTCTGTGTACATGTAACAATATACTAGCATAGCATCGCTGACTCCTTTGTATACACAAGTCACGGTTTTTTAAATTCGTCAGTCGATCGTTCTACCACAACTTGGACTACTACAAAGTAAAGCGCGTTTACGAACCCACACAAGTGGATATATTTAAAGTATGAAATGTGACGAGTAGATGAGAAAAGAAAGAACACAATCTCCGTAGCTAGTCTACTTCCTGCAGGGGGCAGCCGGCGAGCGTCCGTCGAGGCAAGTAACAATCAATAACAATACTTCTCGTGTAGACTTCTTATCTGTCACGTCCACAAAACTTAGTGGGCTTTACCCACGCACCAGCACGGAAACAGTAAATCCCCAACGCTCCACTCTAACTCGTGTTAACGAATGACGATAAACAAAGAAAACATTCCGAAGCCCGCGCGGCGTGACAGAATCTACGTTTGTAAATTAGAGTGAAATTTGAAGCGACGCGTAATAATTTTGTTAGTGTAGAGCCCCGTATCCGTTATGCGTCGTCAGTTATTGGGTCGGAAATCACGAAAGATCTAAAAGCAAACTAGTGGAAATCTAATCCATAGCGAACTAGGGTCAATACGTATCGCCGAGCCCGTCTACATCGCAGGATACTTACACTCCACTCGTTTCAGAGCAATAAAATGAAGGGACGAGAGTTTGTCAAAAGCATTCCGTCGTAGCTCGCGGCTTTAATATTATCCCTCTCTGTAAATCGTGCCTCGCGATTGGCACTTTTATTGATAATCGGCAGGGAGATTACTTAACTAAGCAGTATCGCTTTCTTCAATGACGGTTCTTTGTTGTTAGAGCTATTTTCCGCTTATAGAAGATCAATACCGCCCCAGGTCTTTATCGAATCATCCTCGCGTCGCCCAACACTTATTGAAAGACACGCCGACTTTCCATACAAAAATCCATCGCAACCAAAGTAAATGTTCGGTTTAAATTGTATCCATTTACGTTGTATGTTGTTACACAGAAAAGCGTCTACATGTACCGCGTGTTGTAATGATCCTAGTCTACAACGTAATGACGACAAAACCCCGACAACTATTTACCATAAACCCTATCACACACGTGGACGAAATTTTCTAAACAATCCTTGTGAATTACCTGCTCCGTAGTTTTCTACAAAACCCGCATCAGCCCAGTAAAACACGTCCGTGGTTGTCGTCTGGCAGGCGCGCACAGAGCGAGAGCAGTTCACTCGCCACACTGCCACGGTCCCGGAACAAAATGTCACGAAGTGCGATCTACGGAAACACTCACATATCCGTCCTGGTGTGGGCAGCACCGCGCGTCGAGTGGCCCGCTGGCCAACAATACAGCGAGTTACGTATGTACACGACAATGGCCCCAACATTCACTCCCGATCGGCATTTAGCCACGAAACGATCTAGTTACCAGTGTGTCGTGTACAAACAATCAATTTAAGCTGTTTCCATTCGTCTCGTAATTGGTCACCTGTGAAACCGATCGCTATGTTAGTCGACGACAATTAAACAACACACCGCGTGCTATTTGTGTAGGATATAAATAATATATCAAAGGATCTTTTATACGCAAGTTCTATTATTTCCAATGACGTAAAGGGCGATTTAATATCGTGGCTTTACTAGCCTGGCACGCCGCACTGAAATCATATTTCCGCAGGAAATGATACGTGTGACGAATATCCGAACGATCGGATGCTGAAACATAGACGTGCAGCTTGGATCGACAGAGCTTTTTTCTACAATTATTGTGACCCCCTAATTCCCGCCGCTGAACATTGCAGAGAGAAATGCGGAAATTAATAGACCGTACTGTTACTGACGCACTCGCCAAGCCCGACACACACCATGTTATATCCGACAATCAACTCAATTGATTTAGTTTTTATTTGCACGCGGTACTGTACGTTATCTTGCATTAGCATGGCATTGGCTAATTTGATAAAACATAAAATCGATACCTACCCCTTCCCTAAACGTGTTGACAACATAAACATACATTCCGTGTATATATTATTCACCGCCTGTATATGGGTCTGTTCTATTATCATATACAATATTAATCGAAACAGTCGTTTGACACAACACCACGCGACAGAAAGGATTTTTGTAACGATCTAATTGTTTTCTTTGTTGTATAAAACCAGCCTGCTATCTTTAAATAGACAAACAACCGAAACATTTCGTTTGATAATACATGTGGATTTATTGCCGGTCAACGACGGACGGCGGTGCTTGTGACGAGATCGTCAAACATCCGTCCGCGTAGCATTATCTTGAATTACCATTGACTACCCCAGTCACGTAGGCGCACGTTCGTATAATCGACAAAAGTGACACCACGTCATAAATTCTCTTCAAACACATTATCTACCGGCATAGGAACTTACGGCGATAACATCTCCAGCCCACTTAAACTCAAATATACACGTGGACAATTATAAATGTGTTAATGCATCCACACGTCCGCGCTTACACCATTTAAATATACACACATACACTCACACACATCGACGTATAGATATTCAATGTACTGACGACAGATGTTGTGAATTATACGTTTATGTTCGAGTTACATAATACTTCATGCGTACGGAACAATCAGCGAAACACCGCCTCAAGTTCTTCACGGTTACTCGCGATATATTTTACGGAAAGTTGAGCTGACGAAAAAACAGAAACAATTCATTTTGTGCGAGACTTTTAAGAGTGTGTACAGAAACGGGATATAACTTGTCTCGTCAAGCTAAAGGAGCTGCGCTTTCATTGTTTCAATCCTCGTCGTATTTCCCCGCTAGCTGGTCGTTGTACTGCCGAGCACGCCACCACGGGGATCTAGAGCTATTTCATTTGATCTCCACTCCATGGTAACACGTTAGACATACGTGTTCGAGAAAAAGTAGGATGTGTTTTGTCATGAATTCGGCCTTTCGAGCTAAAGTTTATGTGTTTCTTGCATGCGCGAAACAGAATTGATAAGAAATACTCATTTCTGTCTCGAGGCTGGAAATTGATACATAAAATACTGTATTAGGATCACGGCAGTTTGACGCTAGCTGTAGACGATGGATCTGGATACGCATCCGAGCGGAATGAGAAAAATCCTGTTTATTCATCTGAGTACACAATACGGCTAGTTCACTCTGTATTAGTATACATAAAAGTCATATCCAACCAAACTACCGCCGACCATTAGGTATGAAGATCGTTAAAATTGTAGAACATTTAAAGACACTGGTACGCAGCCGAGTTGAACTAACGCGAAAACTGTCAGGTATCAGCTGGCTCCACGCTGTGTGATAGCGAATTACGTACTCTGATAAGGGTGATAAGACAATGGCCGTGGTCCCGATAGTACACGTGGGTATGTGGACTGTGTACCGACATACATAGAGCTGATTAGTGTATAACGACAGCATTCCTACAGGTAAAAAACTGTAGTCGATTGAATGATAATGTATCGGGTGTCACCGACATTAACTCAAACCAAACGATAAATGTATCGTGTGTCACCGACATTAACTCAAACCAAACCATAAATGTATCGTGTGTCACCGACATTGACTCAAACTGAACGATAAACGTCTCGCGAGTCACCGACATTAACTCAAACTAAACGATAATTTTATCGTGTGTCACCGACATTAACTCAAACTAAACGATAAATGTATCGTGTGTCACCGACATTAACTCAAACTAAACGATAATTTTATCGTGTGTCACCGACATTAACTCAAACTAAACGATAAATGTATCGTGTGTCACCGACATTGACTCGAACTGAACGATAAATGTATCGTGTGTCACCGACATTGACTCAAACCAAACGATCAATGTATCGTGTGTCACCGACATTGACTCAAACCAAACGATAAATGTATCGTGTGTCACCGACATTGACTCAAACCAAACGATAAATGTATCGTGTGTCACCGACATTAACTCAAACCAAACGATAAATGTATCGGGTGTCTCCGACATCAACTCAAACCAAACGATAAATGTATCGTGTGTCACCGACATTAACTCAAACCAAACCATAAATGTATCATGTGTCACCGACATTGACTCAAACTGGACGATAAACGTCTCGCGAGTCACCGACATTAACTCAAACTAAACGATAATTTTATCGTGTGTCACCGACATTAACTCAAACTAAACGATAAATGTATCGGGTGTCACCGACATTGACTCAAACCAAACGATAAATGATAATACCAGGTGTTCCAGAAGATTCAGCGTCTTCTGCTTCACTGACGACGCCCTCCATGTAAATGGCGACCGAAAAACTCCATCATTTTCCTCAACCTGTATCTTTCGAAACCCTTTGTTACGAGTTGTCTGTCATTTGACGACATCTTGCACGAAAATCGTGATACCGAAAGCAAGCCCTTGCATGTCGAATCAACAGCGACATTTAATCATTTTGTGTTCGGGTAGATGGGATGTTGCTCTCCTGAATAGAAAAAATCACAATAGCAAGGTTGAAACCATCACGCTTATCATACAGCTTAGTAAAAATCTGTTCCAATTGATTTAGTAAGCGACTGATGTAAAAGAACCAGCCTTGTCGGCCATGATTTTCAGGTCTGGTGGGTATATATGATGGACATATTTAATCCATTTCTTGTCATTTAAATATAAGGAATCATCATTATAAACTAACAAGGAATCTGAAGGACTTCGCAATGTCTTTGTGACCAGTTTTGATAGCTTACGCCTCATATGAACACAAAAACAAGTCAGCTGATTAATCATATGGGTATTCCATTAATTTGTCGGAATACCTTACCGCCAAACTCGACCACTAAGATATTGTCATCTAGAAATTCGACCATTCTGATCATTTCTTCTTTGAGTTGGACATTTCCACAAAATACGCTTCAGTATATTTCACAACTATATGTTTATACCACCGTCCACCTTACTTTGAAAAGAAAGCTTTCATAACAGGAGAATGAATGCGTTCCAATGTGGAATGCAGTATGGTAGATAGAGAGGAAAAATCAAATATTCACAAAGAAATATTTTTAGAATCGGGTGTTAAAGAATGGTTAAAAGCTGTTTGAAGTTTTTTACATTACATTTCCATAGAGTTAACAATGGCGCTGTTTCCGTATAGATAAAAAACTAATGTGTCCGTAAAGTGAAAAGTAATATGTTTCCGTAGTGTTAAAAACTCTAACACAAACTAAGTGTCATAGAGGATAATGCAAACTTAACGAGAACTGGAAGTCTATGCACGGGAC